AGATAAAATACATTTAAATCCATTATTTCATAAAGATACAATAAAATGAACATCTTTGGAATATGTAAAAAAGTGAAATCATTATTTTGAAAATGGTTAACAACAACAACAAAAAACTCAAACAGTTTGCTTACTCCTCCCATACTATCAAATACCAGAAGAGGAAAAATAGTTCTTTATATAAGTTTTCCAGATAATAAAGGATGAAAGAGTAATTGAATTCAAGTATCTCAGTCAGGCACTGGTTTATACCTATAATCCCAGCACTTTGGGAAGCTGAGGTGGGACGATTGCATTAGCCCAGGAGTTCAAGATCAGCCTATGCAACAAAGTGTCTCTACAAAAAAATCAAAAAGTTAGCCAGGCATAGTGGTGCATGCCTGTAGTCGCAGCTACTCAGGGAGCTGAGGTGGAAGGATCACTTGAGCCCAGGAATGCCACTTCATTCCAGCCTGGGTGACAGAGTAAGATCCCGACTCAAAAAAAAAAAAAAAAAGAGTGTATCTCTGCCATGAAATCCATAATTAATTAATGGGCCCAGGCATTGAGAATTAATGGCAAGCAAAAATTTCAAACAGAAGCTCAACCAGACAATGTATGTATCCTGATGGTGAAACACACCACCACAGTGAAGCTGTCTTGGGGGGGGGGGGCGGGAAATGAATCTGAATCTTATATCTTACAAAGCCTCTGATTCAACTATCTATTTATAGCAGACACAAAGAATAGAGGACAGAGGAATCTATTAAACCACACTAAGAAGATAAAGTTAGCAAAATTCAGCTTCAGGAATTCTACATGTAAATTTATTTGGTTTTTCTTTTAAAAATTTTATTTTTATTTTAAAGAGGTGGGGTACAATTCAGTATTAAGTATACAAGTGGTCATCATACAGGTAATTGCCCATCAAAACTGGACTGCATTTTTAAAATGTGATACATATTCGGTTTTTCAACAGATAAATTGCAAGGGTGAAAAACAGAGGGGAAAAGCCTGTACAGTAAAAGACTCAAGAGACATAATTTAAAAGCCAAAACTAAAGAATAGTGTTTAATGAAGTTCTCTTGGGTAATTCAACAATAAAGAAAGATAGAGCTAAAGGGTCTGATCCTGGAGCACTCCAACATCTAGAAAAAGATAGAAGGAGTAGTCAACAAAGGATACTGAGGAGTGGCCGAAGAAGCAGGAGGTAAAGCTGGCTGGTGTCGTAGAAGCCAAGAGAAGAGCATGTTCTAAGAGTGGGTAGTTGTCAGCTGAATCAAATGCCAAAAGTTAGTAAGTGGAAGGTTGAGAAGTGGTCATCAGGTTTGCCTGTATGCAATTGGTTGGTGACCTTGCCAAGAGCAGTGTCAATGAGGGTAAAGGCAAAGCTAAGTCAGAATGAGTGACAGTAACTGGAAGATGAGAAGAGACATCAAATATCTACAGGCAACTACTTCTATAGAAGTTTGCTTGAGAAGAGAAGCAGAGAAATAGTCTGGTAGCTAGAGGACAATATGGGGTTAAGGGTGATTTATTTTTAAAGTGGGATTTATTACAGCATATTTGTATGCAGAGAGAGAGCTTGAAGATATAAAAGAGAAAGAGAATAAACAAAAATAGAAATTCTTGTGAAGTTTAGATGGGATGAAACAAAACACACATGTTAGCATTGGTCTCTCATAGAGATAGAGTTGCTCCCTCTGCTAGAAGAAGCAAAAGGTAAATGTAGACTTGGGTGCAGTTACAGATTTGGTGGTGGAGAGGTAAGAGAATTCCTACTAGATGGATTATAGTCTTTTCTTTCTGTTGAAACAAACACATCATCTTCAAAGATATGCAGCTGAATCAGGATATCCCATTTATTTACCATGGGATTGAGGGTTGAGGTTTTCAATTATATTTTGGACCATTACCCTCCAAGAAATACATTTTTCTTATGACCCACGATACATACACATGGATAATTGAAATCAAATTTCATGGCCCAGTGCTTACTCCTATTAGGTATGTTCTTTTTTCTTTCTTTTTTCAAGTCTACTAATAAACTAGAAGGTTAAGAACCACAGTCTTGTGAAGGAGAGTACAAGGGTCATGTAGAGGAAAATAAAGGGAATTCTATCCCATGCCAGGGTAAGCATGACTCCCAAGCAGGGACTGACCTTCCTATCACAGAAATTCATACAGATTAGAGATATCAAATCAGAAATTGGTTAAAAAGTTTACTTCTGATGTATCTATGTAATAAAAAATTATGCTTTTCATAATTTTTTTTTTTTTTGAGTCGGAGTCTCACTCTGTCGCCCAGACTGGAGTGCAGTGGCCGCTCCCGGCCACCGCAGCCTCGACCTGCTCGGCTCTGGCCATCCTTCCGCCTCAGCCTTCCGAGTAGCTGGAATTACAGGCATGCGCTACCACGCCTGGCTGATTTTTTGACTTATTGTAGAGATGAGGTCTCGCCAAGTTGCTCAGGCAGGTCTCGAACCCATGGGCTCAGGCAGTCCACTCACCTCAGCCTCCCAAAGCGCGGGATTACAGGCTAAGTCACCGAGCCCGGCTGCTTTTCATAATTTTTAAAATACTTTTTCATTGTACTGGGAATGTATTGCATTGATGCATAATAATATATGACACAAACACACTTTAAAAAATAATTAGAAACATCATATAATCACTACCCTGATTAAGCAATAAAATATTTCCAGGAACTTGGAAGCCCATAATCCCCATCTACCCCCATCTCCTTGAGATAATCATTATCTTGATTTTACTTTTAATCGTTTTTTTGTTTTTCTTTTATTTTGCTACTTATACATTTATCCCTAAATAACATACATTAGTTTGACCTGCCTTTACACTTTAAATAAATGAAAAACAGTATAGTGTGTATGCTTTGACATCTGGCTCTTTTCACTAAATATTATGTCCATGATGATATTTTACTCATTTTCATTGCTATATGCAATTCCATATATGAATAAACCAAAATTTTGTAGTTATTTACTGTTGATGAACATTTGACTTGTTTTCATTGGGGAATCCCAGTTTATGTCTCCTTATACATACATGCAGGAACTTCACAAGTGCATATATATAGCAGTGTAATTGCTAGATCAGAGGGTATGAACACTTTCAACCTTACCACATAAGTTCAAACTTCTTCAAATTATATTCCCATCACCAGTACATGCTATCCGTTATTCTAGATCATCACTACTTGATATTTCTTGATATTGTTGCCAATCTGGTGAGTATGTACTAGTAATTCATTGGGGGCTTTAACTAGTATTTCCATATTTTTGTATGTTCATTATGCATTGAAACTTGAATTTTTAAATTCTATTTTGTTTCATTAAATGCTGGTCAGGACTTACTAAGTTAATACTACAGCTTGAAAACAGTAGATCTAGGGCGTATTCTTTTACCTTTCTGAACCTATTTCTTTATCTGTAAAATGGGTATGGCAACCTCAAAAGGGTGTTATGATGGTCAAATAAGATAGATATAAGTTATGTATATGACGCTGAACACACAATTTGTGCTCAATGAATGGTAACTATTATTAGTACTTTTTTTTTGGAGAAAAGAAAATGAATGAGATCTGAGTTGGAGCATAGCCAACAGCTAGGCTGCTACCCAAATCTCAACTAATGTTTTTGTCAAAACCATAACCTCTTAACTCTATTTTTCTCAAAATGGTGGTGCTACCTCCTGCAGTGCTATCACTTGCTACTGGTCTTTTTTGGGAAAGTGTAAAGGAGATGATATTCAGTTGGAATTTGGGTGTGATCCCCTAGCATCAGTGTGGGTGGTGATGTTGGGAAGGACCCATGGACTCTGAGCAGCATCTGTGTCTTGTGATTTGGGGTGATATGCTCTGACGTAGCAGGGTTTTCATGGCTCTATGGTCTGAGGCTTCACATCAAGGAAATTGTGGACCCATTCAGTAATACTGTAACCCTGCTCACTACTCCCTGCCTTTTGCGAAAGACTTCTTTCTCTCTTTTTATAAGATGTTATGATGATCAGGGGGAGGGAGTGTTAGAATAAATGTTGGAATGTAGATAAGGACTCTGCCCATACAATCCTTGGTGAAGAGTGATTCTGATGGGCTGTATTTGTTTTACTACTTATTCCCATGATGTTGTGGACAATCGTGAAGCCAAAGATTTCATCAGTCAAACTGTTCTTTGTCTTTTTTACATTATTCCAGTAACTGCATGAGACTACAATCACTAAGCTGGAGATGGGTGAGAAATGACAGGAAACTATAATAGAGAGAAAAAGGGGAGTTGTCTTGACAATAACGGTAACAGTGGCAACTTTCAACAATACTGACTTGCTATTCTGACTGAATAACTGCTTTTTAGAAGTGGTTTTTTAGAAGTAGTTAAAAATTTATGCTTGAGTTTTATTTGAAACATTCCTTTTCTATAAATCATTAAAATATTTAATAATAGATAATTTGAAATTTGTTGTAGCATTCCAAATATTATAAATTTTAAAATATTATTCCTAAACAATCATGCAAACATATATTTTTTTCCATACCAAAACAGATATTTCCATGCTTGAAATTCTATTTCTAATTTCTAATTTATTCTTAAGGGCTAATTTGCAAAATGAAATTGTTTGGATGATTGGTTTGCAGTAAACATAGTGTACCAAATTGGTTTCTAAATTTAGAGAAAGGTTGAGTCTCCTCTTTTAATAATCAAGAAATAATAGAAGTATTAATGATAATGAAGCTTCCATAATTAAAAAGTCAAATTCTGAAATTACAAGCTGAAATGAACATTGGCAGGTAGCAGTTACATAATTTATAATTCTCACAAATGGTTATTTTGAGATCTTTTCACAACCTCCAACATGCAGTTTATTAAGTGAAAGTATATATATATATGCCATATGTGCCATAACTGAGTTCCATAACATCTTGGGGAATTTGTTATTATTGAGCATAATTTAAATATAATTTAAAGATATAGGAAATAGTGCATAAAATTCTATGAATCACAAAAGAAAGACAAAGTTGTTTTAATAACTGTTATGATTTCTATGTCTGACATTTAAAATTATCACTATTAATTATAAATTATTACTTAGAAAGTAATAATTATTATCCACATAAATGTTTTCTAAAAAAAATTTTGTTTACATATAATAGGATTTGAGGATGAGGTCTATATTTTAAATACAGTAGACTCCATGTCCTTTCTTGGAGGTTTTTGAGGACTGATTTTGGGTAGTATCTCTTTGGCATAAAATGTTTTATGAAGTCCAGCTTCTCGAAGTGCTAACTCAAAGCGAAGTCTAGGATCAGCAATTATCTGTAGAAATAGAATACAATTTGAATAAATAGCAGTTTATTGAACTAAAGCAAATTTTAACAGTTAGTCCCATATTTTCTCAAGTTGCATAATTTGTTTTTGCCAGAAAGCAATAAACTTTATGAGTACAATGACTATATTCTGGTGATTTTTACTGAAAATATCCAAACCTTTTTGATATTATCACTTTCCAGTACATTAGTGGTTTCCAACATAGGCGGTATATAATATAGTATAATAGATTAGATAAAATATAATATATTAAAATTATTAAAATATGAGGTAAAAGCAGCTTGTTTTCTTTTTCTTTTTTTTAATTGTAGAGATGAAGTCTCGCCAAGTTGCCCAGGCGGGTCTCGAACTCATGGGCTCAGGCAATCCACTCACCTCGGCCTCCCAAAGTGCTGGGATTGCAGGCTGAGCCACCGAGCCCGACCGCAGCTTATTTTCAATACTATCATTATTTATTGCTGACTGGAGTTATAAAATACAATTACTGATTAAAATAAACCTAAGCCACAATCTTGTGCATCTGTCTTTAAACAGACTTTTTAATTTTTCCGTCATTTGATAATTGTAAATTACGTTTCCACACATGGTCACTACTTGAAAAATAAAATAAATAGAACTTTTCTTCCAAGGCTGGATTTCTATTTCAAACATAATTAGAAAACGCCTCCATCAATCTGATTCTAAGAGGGAGTAGACATATGAATAGTTCAGTTTCTGTTTTCATTTATAGCTGATTGGAACTACTTCTTCCTCTCCTTCTAAGGAATATTAAATGTCAACAGATACTGTTTGCAATGATAAGAAGGTGGTCACATATGGATTTTACCTAACTTGAAGTCCGCCTAGAGAATGTGATACTAAGCTATTGAAGGCAGCCCCTCCTTCAAGGAGCTCTGAGACAAACGAGAGTAATAAGAATGTACACACATAACTACAGTTCCTGGCAACATGTGGCAGACACTCTAACAGTAGTATAATATGGAGGCACATCTCCCGATGCTGGTGGAATTAAGAATAGTCTCAGGTACAGAGAAGCAATGGAACTAAACTTTTAAAGTAGATGGAGGAGGAAGAGAGCGCTAAGGAGAAAGGAAAGCATATACAAACTCAGAGGTGACAAAAGTCAATTTGGGGTAAGGGTGGCTTGGGTAGAGTGCTAGCTGCCATTGAGGAACACTGGAAACTGACACCTCTCAGACTGAGACTTGAATTTAAAAGGCTTATGCGGCCATGCCAAGGAGTCTAAGGAGCTACTGGGGTTATGTTTGTTTCTGTTCTCAGCATGGTAGCAAAATAATCATTGTACATTGTAGTTTCATAGGAAGATGGATCTGATCGTAAGTTCAGAAAAAATTAAGGTGGCAAGGGAAAAAAGAGGATGAAGTCAGGAAGTGTGGTTAGCAGTTTACCACAATTGTCTACATAGGAAATCATAAATGTCTAAACTTGACTGGTAGCAAGGAAGAAATAACTGTCAGAAATACTATGAAGGGAAGAATCGATAGAACTTGGCAGCTGATCAGATACAGGACTGGGGCAATGATGAGTATGAAGTCAAGAATTACAGAGAGATGTGTGTCTCAGAAGCATTAAATCTGAGCCTTAGACCCAGTTTTTTCCTCTTCTGCCTCAATGTAATCTCCCTGGTCACTCTCATCTGCCCCCCAAAATTCATGTTTGATGTGTGTAATTGGCTTGCAGGTCATCTTCATGGCTTCTCTTCAGATCCACATCATGAGGTTTAACATTTTTTCATTGTTCTATTTTTGAATAGATAGTAAAATGGAGACCTCCCACTCACCTTATTCTCCTCATTTCCCCTCTCTAGAGGCAGCCCATCAGTTTCTTGTGCTAAACATTTTCACTCTAAACATGGCATGAGTTAAGCAAATTTTTTCTTCACCTGTCTTTTTTTACTTTTGTAGTCTTATATGGTTAATGGCAGTAGCACCTACTGATCATAATTTACTGAATTACTACTAGGTACCAGGCAGTGTCCTAGGCAGTTGATATTTATTATCTCTAATCCTCACAAGGACCTTGCAAATAATTATTTTGCATATGAAAAAAAGACATAAAGATGCTAATAGCTTACACAAGTGCACCAAGTCAATAAATAGTGGATGTGGACTTGAATCTAAAATATAGGCTCTTCTCAATATTATTTGCTGTCTAGCTTGGAATCATCCTCTCTTTCTCAGTTCTCTCCCCTTCTCAGTCAGAGCCATTCTTGACCCACCCCCACTCCATCCACCACAACTTCTCTGAGGCTCTGCTATCTTAAAAGGACCTCACCTCACCTCAACCCACACCCACCCTCACCCCCACCAATTTTCAACTCAGAACATACAGCTAGAAACACACATCTGATTACAGGTTTGTGCCAATTAGTAATGGATGTATATTCTGAGAACTGTGTCCTTAGGCAATCTCGTCACTGTGCAGACATGATAGAGTGCACCTACACAACAAGCTTATAGACTACTACACACCTAGGCTATACAGTGTAGCCTAAAAACCTGTACAGCATGTAACTGTACTGAATACTGCAGGCAATTGCAACACAATGATGTCTGTGTATCTAAACATAGAAAAGGGAATGTGTTGTGCTATGAAGTTATGATGCCACTAGGTGATGAGAATTTTTCAGTTCCACTGTAATTTTAAAGAACTACTCACGTATATGTGCTCTGTTGTTGACTGAAACATCTTTATGCAGCGCATGATTGTATACAATTTAACTGCTTCAAACTCTGGTGTTTCCCAATGAAATATTATGCAGCCATAAAGAAGAACAAAATCATGAACTTCACAGCAACCTGGATGGCCTATAATACTGAGTGATCTTTCACAGAAACAAAGAACTAAGTATCACATGTTCTCATTCATAAGAGAGCCTTGAACAACTATCATAATACTAAAAGAAAAGGATTGACAGTAGTGGGAAACTGCAGGGGGATGGGGGCGCGGGGAGGTGGGATTGGCAGTATGGGAAACTGCCTGGGGAAGGGGGGGCACACCTCATCAACAAGGCTACCTGTACAATGAATATTTGTATACCTAACCCTGAATTGTACCCCACAATTAAAAAAAAAAAAACTCTGGTGTTTCCTCACACAATAATGCTACATGTCTTAGTAACAAGACCGTCTATACTTTTCACAGCCTGACCCTAACCCATGTTTCCAGTTTCCTCTCCTGGCAACTTGTCATGTATCCCTTGCCATGTATCTCACACTAACAACACGCCAAGAAGGGACTCATGCCACCTTCTTCAGCTTGGTCAAACCTTTGCTTCCTTAGCCCCACAACCTGAGATTTTCCAGCTCTGTCTTCAATCCTTTCAAGCCCCAGCTACTCTCCCCACTCTGGCAGCTGGTGTCCGGAGATACCTCTACATCTGCATAATTAATCCCTCTCCCTACATACACCCCCCAACCTATTTTTTGTTGTTGCCATCATAAACCATCTGGAGTGAGTTCTGTTACTGCTGCCAAAAATCCTCGACCAAGAAAGGGCTGAAAATTTCCTCTCTGACACTTCCTCTGATTTCCCCAGTCAAGGTTAGCCATTCTTTGCTTCCCCTTGCTGGGCAGCCCTTAACCTTCATTATGGAGTCAATTCCACCCTAGTGGCATTATTTCTGCAGACACTACTTCCCTCCTGACCATCCTCTTTTGCTTACTTCTTTCAAACAGGGTCAGTTTATCTGGGTCAGCTGTAGCCCAGGTACCTTGCACAGAGCCAGAATTCAGTGTACGTTCCATAAATATTTGTTCGACTTAATAAGTGAATACATTGTGCATGTTTATATTCTCTAGAAAAGTATGTAGCATATGGTAGAGCCATTCTTGACCCACCCCCACTCCATCCACCACAACTTCTCTGAGGCTCTGCTATCTTAAAAGGATGAGTTTATTTGGCAATAGATGGCATTTCCTGATTTTTAAATAAATATTTAGCGTCTCTCCTTAGATTTGCAAAATTAACAACTACTTTCTCCTTTAATTTCAGTGATTGATATCCATTCATTCATCTGTCCTCCTTCTACTCTCTAGCCCTTCAATGCATCCATCTAAAAGAGCTTTTAAAATCCCTTCTCAGTGACAGGCACAGGCTGAAATGAGCCCTAGTTCCTAGAAATGGTTAAATAATCCCTTAATGTGGTTTCCATAGAAAATGTTTTCTTTTATTATTAGCTCTGACGTATTATCTTCAGTACATTTTAACTTCTGAAAGCTCTCCTCTGCTGTGTCTTATCAGTATCAGTTGTTTATGTAATAGGATTTATGCTATAAATTTAAAAATAAATTCTTAATATGACAGAAATATTTAAATAAAACATAGTACTAATGCAGAACTTCACATAAAACTGTTTTTCAATTTAAAAATAATTTTCAGTGACAGATTTATAACATTTTCAGGTAAACTCTTTTGTTTTATGGTCACCTATTAACTATTTCATAATAATAAGAATTATGGGCTGGGCTCGGTGGCTCAAACTGTAATCCCAGCACTTTGGGAGGCCGAGGCAAATGGATTGCTTGAGCCCGAGGGTTCGAGATCACCCCCAGCCTCTTAGAGAGACCTCGTCTCTACAATAAATCAAAAATTAGCTGGGTGTGGTAGCGCGGGCCTGTAGTTCCGACTACTTGGAAAGCTGAGGCAGAAGGATCCCCGGAGCCCAGTGGGTCAGTGCTGGGGTGGCCATGAGTGTACTACTGCACTCCGGCCTGGGAGATGGAGTAAGACTTCAACTCAAAGAAAAGAAAAGAAAAAATTATGTATTAAATATGTGCTATCATTTAGAAGTAAAAACTATGCTGATCTGTATGGTATTCAAATATAAATATTGAGAAGAGTTTGCAACACCAAACACACACTTCTATAGTTCTTATCATCTTGGCTTTTGCATGAATCATCATGCCATTTCCTTTAATTACCTGCTGTTCATTATATGTATTCAATGTGAAGAGTGGCTTTTGAAGAATAAATTCTTCCTCAATTTCAATACCCATCTTAGCTTTTGATGCCATTGTGTCTGACATCATTCTAACAGGATCCGATTGAGCAACAACAGCAACCTGAAAGAAGAGAAGGCACAGCTACTGAGAACAGGGTGTAAGCCAAATATTTCTGGGCAACATTATGGATGTCTAATACCCATTAAAGTTAAGAACTTTTGCCAGGTTCGGTGGCTCAGCCTGTAATCCCAGCACTATGGGAGGCTGAGGCGAGTAGATTGCCTGAGCCCACAGGTTCAAGATCAGCCCAGGCAACTTGGTGAGACCTCATCTCTACAATAAATCAAAAATTAGCCGGGTGTGGTAGCATGCACCTGTAGTTCCAGCTACTCTAAAGACTGAGGCAGAAGATAACCAGAGCCCAGCAGGTCGAGGCTGCGGTGGCTGTGAGTGTGCTTGAGTGACGGAATGAGACTCCGACTCAAAAAAATAAAGTCAAGAACTTTTATGAATGATAAAGACTAAGAAAAGAAGGGCAGAAAGAATATTAAAACCAAGTAAGTCCTATAGATCCACAAAGGAGTTCAAGCAAACAAAAATATATGTAGGTGTGTGTATTATATAGATAGATATACAACAAATTCTTAAAAGGTCATGGTATTTAGTTATTTGCTAATTATTGACTAATTACAATTATGGTTAATTTCAGATAACAATTTATCTTTCTGATATGAAGTCACAGGAGACCCAAAAACCCCGGAATTTTGTTTATTTATAAAAAACTGTGTATTTATTCTTACATGTTTAAACTTCAGTAGCATTCAAAGTACTCTCCGACACTTTTTCCACTGCTCAAATCAGTTTTTGAATTTGTCAATTTTGATGCTTTTCAATGCTTCTGCCATTTTTGCTTTCACCTCTTCCACACTGGCAAAACGTTTCCCGTTGAGGACTGTTTTCAACCGGGGAAATTTTTTTTTTTAAGTCTGTTCAGGGTGAGCTCAGGTGAGTAGAGAGAGTGAGCACAGGAGTTGCTGTTTTTTGCCAAAAATGACTGAACACTCAGGACAGTGTGAGTAGTTGTGTTGTCATGGTAGAAGGACCTGCTTGCCACAGCTTGAGACGTTTCTTTTGCAAATCGTGATGCAAAAAACTTCCAGAGAAAAACTTTGGTTGACTTTGATCCAGAGGAACAAATTCCAAGTGTACTACAAGGGGCCCACCCAACAAAAGATAATTCCGGGTTTTTTGGAATCCTCCCATGTAAAGACAACCTACACATTCAACCATTATGAAAGTCACCAAAAGTTTTTTAAAAATTCATTTTTTTAGCCACTAGAAATTTAAGGTTATGGTAACAACCCCATGGAGCTCTCCAGAAAGTTTTATCTGCTTGAACAAAATCAAGAACATATCATTCATGGGTAAAAGTTGAATGTGTTGGCATTATTGGAAAAAATGGGTGAATTTGCATTGCACCAGGCAACCAAATTTCCAGGGACTGTTTAAACCATTGTTCTTCCTTTTACTGAAAAGCTGCAGAGTCATTTAAACCCAAATGCCCTTGTCTTTTATGATAATTCAAACTTGCATCTCAATGAAAAGCAACCACTAATTTTGTAAATGATATGCACCATTAGTAACACCTGCCTGGTAATTCTGAAAGTCAAGAACTAGTGAAAAAAAGGCATTTTTAATACCATTTAGAGACTGTAATGAAATAACAGAGGGTTGAACATGCTTTAATTATTATATGTTTCCTAGCTAAAATAGCATATACTATAGTTCTAAGCACCGATTACAGATAACTGGTACAGTACTTCCACCTTGAACATATTCACAGATGGAAGGAATTCTAATCAGATGGACTCTGTAGTTATCAAATTTTAAATTATTAAATTTTGAACAAGGATGTATTTAGTAATAGTGACATTAAGCTTTGTCCCAGAAAGCCATGGTATATAATTATTTTCCAATGATCGAATAATTTACATTTTGTAGGATCTGGGAATCATTTAAATTTTGTAGAATCTAGGATGAGTAGGATTTATAATCCCATGCTTTAAATGTATCTCTATAATCCGTTTTTATCAAAGAAGATGATAATATAATAGTTTGCATGCATTTACACTGCATCAATACCATGTCATTTAATCAGACTTCTTTGGTTTGCATCAGTATGACATTTACTAGCTGGCTGACTTTGGGGAAAGCACCTAACCTCTAAACCTCTCTGCTTCCACTTCTATAAAATGGGGATATTAATGATACCTAATCAGAGGGTTGTTATAAAGATTAAACAAAGCAATACCTAAGAGTATTTTGAAGAAGGCTTTATACTTAGTAAATAATAAATTTGATTTATTATTTACTAAATGTAATTGATTAATAAACAATAAATTTGAATTCATATTACTGCAAATCTAAAAGGCAGGAACCATTATTCCCATTTTTCAGAAGAGGGAATAAAGCTTAGAGAAGTTAAATAAACAATCCTAGTTTTCAAGGACAGTGAGTACAGAACTAGATTGTAGCAGGTTTGAAGGACACATGTTGCCTTCACTGATGTAAGAGGGAAACCAGACATTTCCTGTTAGCTGGAAGATTGTGTCAATGAAGGTTTTAGAGCTTGTTAGTTGAACCAATCACTTCGAGTTCAAAACTCTGAAAAATTACCAAGTAAAACCATTTTATTACACTTCCAAGTTCTTAAATTCCTACTCTTGCCATCTACTGTCTATTTCATTTACTTTTGCCTACTTTTGCTAGGCAAGGCAATGGGAGGCTTTTATTTCTCCATAAAAAGGGTATTTTTTAAAAAGTGGTTTTTAACATATTTGTTGCCTGTGGAATATTTCCAAATGGAGATTCCTATGCCAAAGAGGATTATCTTGCTTTAGTCCCACCAGGTTTTTTGAGGACAGTAAAACTCTTCAACTTGATGCAGAATTTCGCTGTTGTAATTGGATACTATTCAGCTAATAAACTAGAGGTGATATGGACACATTGAATCTTGGGAGAGCTTTTTAAAAGGTGCTGATAAAGTTCTTTTAATATACTGAGAAACTGGAAATGGTTCAATATAATCTAATTGCTCCCAGGAATGAAGATCAGTATCCCAATTTGGAAAAGTTACATTTTATATAGCAGATGTCATGAACTGAGCCACAATAATAATGTTATTAAGAGCACTTAGAAACATTTTTTTTTAAAAACCACCCATGAACATCTCCAAATTAAAAACACCTGTTTCCTAAGAGCTTCCAGCCGCTGCACTCTCTCTTCATCTTCATGAGCTTCTTGAACGGCTGCTTCTTTTTTGTCCATCAAACGCTTTTCCAGTAATTCTTGTCTATATTTAACCCTTTAAAATAACACACAGAAAAGTTGGGGGAGCATCATAATAATATTGAGATTAGAGGGGGCAGAAGGCATCTCAGTTGACATCTAAGGTAACATCATCATATTTTGTTTTTTACCTGTTTTGGGTTGATTTCTTTTCTCCAAATAATAAAAGAGACTTACAGAAAATGCAATTCATAGGAATTCACATAACAACCAGAGAAATGCAGGAGAGTGGGGTTAAAATCCATTTCATCTCATTCCTTATTGAAACCACTTTATTAACTGTCCGCTGACTGTCATTCTGCTCTCATCTGCATTGAGAGGTGATTGACTTGCTCTCAAATGAATTATTATAGCAATCTTCTGGTGAGAAGTTTTAGTACAACTTGAATTGTTAAAAAGGCCATATTATCATTTAAATATACATATTTTTATAAAGAAAAGTAAAATATGCTACCATAATAATGTCTAAATTATTTGACTTACTAGAACTCAAATTAAACTTCATATGTGCTGTCATTTATATTGTCACTTTCTGAGCAAGTGGTTGTGTGTGTAAAGAAACGTTAAAAATTGCACTTTGACATCTGTAGATGGCAGCAAAAACATGATTTTTCCTTAGCATTTATATTTACAAATCCCTTAAAATCATCAGATGTTAACACGGCACATTTAAGAACTCAAGTTCATTTGGCCTTCCTCTGCTGCGTTTTTTGGGCATCATCCCTTACCATTTTCTTAACCAAACTATTCTCTTGCATTATAGAAATGGAATCCATCTTTTCAAAATAGTAGACATCTGGGGCCTCAGGAAAGTATTAGCCTATCACCTCTGTCTTCCATCATCAACAGCTGAGATTTGGGTTTCTTTGTGACATCAGTCACAAGTGTCCTTTGCTCTTAGTGTGCACACCTGCATTTTCCATGGAGGTACCTCCTCTATATTCTGGATTCTGACATTTACTGAGTGTTCACTATGCATCAGGTCTTGTGCTAAGTGCTGTTATATGTTTAGCTTATTTAGACAATAATTGTATGTTGAAGTACAATTTTAATTCCATTTTATAGATAAGGAAATAGAGACATAAATAAATAAATATTTAAAAGACTGAGCACAGTGGCTTATGCCTATAATCCCAGCACTTTGGGAGGCCAAGGCAGGAGGATCGCTTGATGTCAGGAGTTCAAGACCAGACTGGTCTCTATAAAAAATAAAAATGAAGAAATAGGGGCATGAATTTGTATACCTAGCCCTGAATTGTACCCCACATCTTTAAAATAAAAAAATTCAAAGAAAAGAAATAGAGGCATAGATATGTGATCTTAAGGTGCCTTAAGAGAGGTATAAATAAAGTCCACTGAGAATTTGCAGAAAGGTGGGATGACCACTTGCTAGGGAGGGAGTGGCAAAACTAGGCAAGAGCTTCACAGAGGCAACATCTGGGCTGGGTCTCAAGGATTAGGATTTCAGGCAGAGAGAACAAGTGAGGACTGGCATCTGAGAGTGCTGCCTTGCTTGCCTTGACCTAGTCATGGAGGCCATAAGAAGGGAAGAGTTCAGGGTGGCAACGTCAGAGGGAGTGAATGACGAATGACAGAGAGAGAAACCTGGCTGTGACAGAGTTTCCTTAGGACGATATGCTCTGGGGGAGAAATATTCTAGAAACAGATTGCCCATGAACCTGGCAGGAAAGAAGAAGCACGTGGAGAGGAAAGAAGGGAAGCATGCAGTAGATCCCCTATGGAATATGATACCTAGAAGGGCATTTAGAAGGAAAAGCCTAACCTTCTTGGAAGGCCATGAGTGACCTCCCCAAAATTAACAATTACAGTCAAGACACAAATTATAGAGTCCTCAGACCAGAATTCTTCCTTTCTCTTGCTCCTCCATGTCATGGAAAGCTCTATTTCTCATTCTCTTCATCCTTGCTAAGGCATGACACAACCTCCCTAATGAGGTTCTACTCAATTTAAGCACTGAGTACAAACTAAGTGAACTCCTGTGAAGGTTCAATTAAAAGATACCCTGGGATTTGACAATTACCATATGCTAATTCTCAGAACCTTTGGAAAGTTTCTCCTCCTATGGGATATGTAGGTTGCTTTGTCTGCAACAAAGTTTTTGTCTGCTTGTGGAAAAGTAATAGTTCTTATAGTCAGGGGAGCTTGACTAGTAGGAGAAATTGCAAATGAGAGTAAGGCATTTGTACCTGAGCAGCAGAGAAGGCTGACTTATCATTTACTCTGAGGCTCATTCATTTTGTTTAACAGATTGAGCACCCAGCATGCCATGCCATGTTGTGCTCTGATGGGATAGTGGGGCAGAGGCCACGGGGGAGACACCTTTGTCAGACTTGGGGCTTTCAGGGAAGTAGCTGAGAGGAAGAGTTCTGAGTTTAAAATCTCAGAAAGGAATTCACAAGGATGGGAGAGAATAGAAAGAATGTTCCAGACAGAAAAAAATATATAGCATATGAAAACCCAGAGGTGAGGGAGCACAGTATGTTTGAAGAAGTGAAAGAAATTCAGTACAATCAAAGATGAACAATGCAAGGTGGGGAGTGACAGGAACTGAGGCTGGAGAAGCAAGAGGGGCTGGACTGGGGGGCTTTGCAAGCATGAGGGCTTTTGATCAAGAAGAAATTGCTCCTGTAATATGGAGGATGGGTTGTTAGGAGGCAAGACTGGAAAGGGCAATCCAGCCAGGAGTGGATGGCCTCCTGATCCAGGGTGAGGAGGGGTACTGGCAGGAGGTCAGAAGAAGACATGGATTCAAAGGATATAAAGAAAATAAAACCAACAGAAAGTCTTAGTTAATTTTATGGGAGAGGGAAAGAGTGAGGAAGAAGTTAAGATGTCTGCCTTACTTGGTGAACAATGGTGTTCTTAAGATTGGAAACTTACAAGAGAGATAGTGCAGAGAAGGAAGGAACTAGGTTCAGTTTGGACATAGATCTATCTGTACAAAATCTGAACTGGAGAAATAGAGAATATTCGCCAACAAAAGGGAACTGAAGCTACAAGGCAGATGCCATCATCCAGGATAGAGTATAGAGTCCGAAGAGAAGTAGGCCTGGGATTGATTCCCAAGGAAGCAACGCTTAGGAAAAAGAAGGAGAGGAAACTATCAGGGAATAAGGAGGATAAATGGTCCAAAGAAGCTAAGGAAAATGAGGTCCACAATGTCAAATGCTACAGAAAGATCAATTATAGAGCAAAATAATTCTTGGATGAAACCACAGGAAGTCATTGGTAATCTTGGCAAGAACAGTCAATGGGCAGCAGAGGGGGGAGGTAAGGAAGGGAGGGAGTGGAGACCAGCTCGGCAGCAAGACTGGTGCAAACAGAAAGGAGAGGGGTGGGGTGGAGCTGGAATGTGCACCATGCTGATCACTGCTGCACTGGCTCCAAAGCCATGATCAAAGTCACTCTGACTGCCTGGAAGAATTGCCATGGGAAAATTTCAGGACAGAGGAGACTCAAATTCTTCATTTGTACAGATGTTCTATGGTTTAAACTCAAAGAATACTTCCCTCAAAAGGATAAATACTTGGTGCTTCTTTCTTCTACTCTGGACAGAAAAATGTATTTGCCTAAAGAGAAGTGATGCAGAAAAACTCCTGGGAGGAAGCCAGATACTCACATATTCATGGGGAAAGAAAATAGCAACACAGTAAAGTCAATCATTTGGAAAATTTTCCACATAAATACTTTTAGCCATTTGAGGTAGCAGATTTTCTTCAAATTAAACTGTTGCTATGAAAGTCAATGTCAGGAAGTGGCTAAACTCAATAGTTTTTAAGTTGTGTACTGAATTCCCAAGCAGGAACCTTGGGTTCATTTCTCAGTCTATTATATGCTCTCTGAGTCTACAAAGGTTGAAAATGCCGCAAAAGAGGCATTTTCAGCTTCTCTTGGGGGAGGAGAAGCATCATATTGTTCAAAAGCAACAGCTGCTGCAGAATCAGGCACAGCATTAACAATAATCTGAAAAGGATTTTACTTAAGCCTCCAGGCCTGAGTGTAGTTGAAGGGACAGCAAGCTTTCATGTAGAAATGGAGAATTTATGTATCATTTATGAGTCTTTATAATGTGTGTACTGCACTCTAAGAAATGAGTATACAAATGCAAATGTTTGGAAACACCTTAATCTATTGTAACAGCCTTCCTGTGCTTCAGTGAAAGTTCAGTAAGAACTGGGCAAAATATTAAGCACCAAGTCGACCTCCATCCCATCTAGAGTCACAGGTAACTTCAATCTAAAAAATAAGCTACAAAAAACAAAGGGTGGGAGCTAGAATGAATGGCCAGTAGTGGCAAGTTCTACAATTAAAAACAAGCAAAAAAACTAAACAATTAAAAAAAAAAAACAAACAGGGCATAAAAAACATAATTAGGGTCTCTAACCAGGGATAGAACACATGCCCCTACCCCCACAAATTTCAGAGAAGTAATTTGCCCTACTGAATTAAAGGCAGTTTATAAACACACTTGCTCCTTAGTGTTTGTCATGTGGCCTACCCAATACTGAACAGGAATCTTTAAACAGGCACGTGCTGGAGTTGCCACTCTCAGAGGTGTTTCAGCGGCAGCATCATGGGGAACCTATTTCTGCCTGTTGAGAATTCCAGCTTTGGCTCACATCCCATTCAGAAGGTTGTTTTTACCACCAAGCGGAGGGGTCTCCTCCACAAGGCACCCCAACAGGGAAGAATGTACAGATTAAAAACAGAGGTGGGCCAAGTGCCAGCACCTCTCTAACAGAAGGAAAAGAACTCAGGGAAAAGAATGGGGATCACATAAGCAGATGTCTACACTGAAGGGCATCACCCCTCGCATTTTATGGGCTGTGGGGGGTCTCAACTCAGTGGGGATTCTGGTTAAGGGCATAAGCAGACACACCCATTTCTGCAAATAGTAAAGTGAATCCTGGCACAAGGCAGTAACATCCTGGTACAGATCGGCATGGGGTAAGAACAAAGAGGACTCACAGGGACCTTGGTGAATAAGAGAAGATG